TCATCATCTTCTGGAACATCATCATAACAATCCATTTCCTGAATTTCCTGGTGAATTTCTTGTGACTCCATTTCTTTCAGAATCAGTGGACCAAATCTCTCATGTTTAGCAATAGCACTGTCTTTAAATGAGTACTTCTTGTCAAGGTAGCCTGCTCGCAGTGCATTTGCAATGCAACTGTCAGTGATTTTCTCCCATGAATTCTTCATCCAAGTCACAACTTCTTGCAGTTTAGGTTTCACAAAGATTCCACGCTGATTTTTCTCCATTCTATTTTCAATGTAGTCATTAATTTCCATGAGCAAACTGTCTTTGAATGGCTTGTTTATTGCAATATCAAGAGTTTGGAGATAGGCCTTATTTTCCGGGGGATGCCTTATATTTCACTCTGAAAGAAACCTGTAAGTAGGTCTTATTTTCGGAGGATGTCTTATTTTCGGGGAAACACGGTATTATATAGATGTCATACCTGTGACAGGTAAAAACGTTTTTGAAAAACAGCGCCATTGTTGGACGTAAAAGCAACACATGCTATACTAAATATTTTACGATTCCATTTCAATATTTCTGATTTATGATCCATTTACAATTTCCAAATTTCAATTTTACAATTCCATTTCAATGTTTCCGATTTATGACCCATTTACAATTTCCAAATTTCAATTTTACGATTCCATTTCAATGTTGATAATGATTCAAGATTTGTGCTTAGAAATTACGAACAAAATTCTCAATCAATTGGGAATGCCATCACCAAATCAATTTGCTGCTGCTTTGTTCGATGTAGAATTGTGTCATGAACAAAATTACATGGATGATCTTTTATCCTATATGCAATCAAATATTCCTAAGCTAACACTTGAGTAAAAAGGCATTTACCATCAAATTATGCAAACTGTCAATAATGTGGTTGGAGAAATCTTCTTCTTAGATGTGCCAGGAGGAACTGGTAAAACATTCCTAATTGATTCTGGCAGTAATTCGATCCCACAATGACATAGCCTTAGCTCTTGCGTTGTCCAGAATAGCTGTGACATTGCTACCATGTGGAAGAACTGCTCATTCCGCTTTGAAATTGCCACTGAACATGCAATTCATTGAAATACCCTCGTGCAACATGTACAAATGGCAAAAGTATTACAAAAATGCAAACTTATTTTAGGATGAATGCACAATGGTACACAAAAAAATCGCTTGAGGCTCTTGATCGATCATTGCAAGATTTGCGTGGAAACATCAGATCATTTGGGAACATATTAATATTGCTTGCAGATTTCAGGCAAACATTACCTGTAATTCCTTGATCGAAACCAGTGGACGAAATAAATGTTTGCCTGAAATACTCTACTTTGTGACGACATGTAAAGACATTAAAATTAACTACAAATATGCGTGTCCAGCAGCAAAATGATCGATTAGCTGAGATTTTTTCACATCAATTGCTGGAAATTGGGAACAGAAAGGTGCTGGTTGATCTGACCTCAGGATGAATTTCATTGCCTCATAGCTTGCGCAATTTAGTGATGTCAAAAGAAAAATTGGCCGAAACTGGTTTGGCTCAGTGGATAGAGTGTCGGCCAGGTTCGATTCCAGTCAAGGGCATGTGCCTGGTTGCAGGCACATCCCTAGTTGGGGGGTGTGCAAGAGGCAGCAGATTTTTTCTCTCTCATCAATGTTTCTAACTCTCTATCCCTCTCTCTTCCTCTCTGTAAAAAATCAATAAAATATATATTTTTTTAAAAATAATTGGTTGAAAAAGTATTTGCCAATATAAGATTCACAATTGGCTGAGTGAACGAACTATTCGTGCGGCCAAAAACAAAGATGTTTAAGAACTTCACAATATTATTCAGTCTAACATTCAAAGTGAGGCAGTCACATACAAGTCCGTCGACAATGTTGTAGAAGCAGATGAAGCGGTTAATTATCCAACAGAATTTTTAAAAAAATATATTTTATTGATTTTTTTCAGAGAGGAAGGGAGAGAGATAGCAAGTTAGAAACATCGATGAGAGAGAGTCATCGATCAGCTGCCTCTTGCACACCCCCTACTGGGGATGTGCCCGCAACCAAGGTCATGCCCTTGACCGGAATCGAACCAGGGACCCTTCAGTCTCCAAGCCGACGCTCTATCCACCGAGCCAAACCGGTTTCGGCCCAACAGAATTTTTGAATTCACTCAATCTGCCAGGGATGCCACCGCACGTACTGCAATTAAAATTGGTGTGCCAATTATCATGTTGCGAAATATCAACCAGCCAATGCTTTAAAACAGCACGTGGCTTGTAGCACAAAAATTAATGAGCAACTTGTAGAAGCAACAATCTTGACAGGACCTTTCAAAGGTGAAGATGTCCTCATTCCTCAAATTCCTATGATTGCAATGGATATGCCATTTCAATTTAAGAGATTGCAGTTCCCCATTCGATTGGTGTTTGCAATCATCATCAACAAAGTTCAAGGCCAATCTTTAGAATTGTGTGGTTTAGATGTAGACTCGGATTGCTTCTCACATGGACAATTATATGTTGCTGTTCTAGAGTCAGCAAACCAATCTCTATTATCTGCACAGACAATGGAACAACAGACAATATTGTATACCCACAAGCATTGTGAAATTAAACTTAGTAGGAAGTGCACTTTCTCTTTTCTTCCTTTTCCGTTTAACCAGACTGAGCCACAGCAACGTGTGGCTGGGTACAGCTAGTAGTGAATAAAAATTTAAAACTTGAAAGGCTACTTGGATTCAGCTTCCATTTTTGGAATACCTGCTTTATACTGGGCTTAATTTTATATTTTTTAAAATGCATTTTCATTGATTTCAGAGAGGAAGATAGAGCAATAGAAACATCAATGATGAAAATCATTGATTGGCTGCCTCCTGCACACCCCTACTCGGGATGGAGCCCACAACCCAGGCCTGATCGGTCACTGCTATATCCCCAGGACTAGAACAGGAGGTGCTCAATAGAGATAAATGGAACAGAGATCAATGAAGGGAGAGAAAAGGGAGGGAGGGGAAGGGACGCAAAGATGTCTTTTTACATGTGGAGCAGGCCTAGGCACAGGGAGCAAAAATCTTTGAATAGTCTTTAGTTGTTCCTCTTAGCTGACAGAGTACTGAAATTATTTCACAACTTAGTGATTGGAAAGTTGTTTTTTTTTTTTTTTTTTTAATGTGAGTTTGTCCAGTAGAGTGATGGGACCTGCTCCAGGTTTTAACCAAGGGACAAGACCCAACCCACAGGAAGTGTCTACACAGGCAGTGGGGATAAAAGACAAAGCTATTTTCCTTGCTACAAGTCACAGGTCTTCCCTTGTTCCATCTGCTGGAATCACATGCATATATATGTATGCTCCCCTTTCCTTTGCATAAATGTAGGTTATCGTTCAGATTTGCTGTCTTCCTTTTCTATTTAACTACTATTGAGGTCATTTTTATGTACACATAAGAGGCTTCCTCATTCCACTTATGGCTGTATAGTTTCCACCGTATGTATGGATAATAATTTACTTAACCAATCATCTGTTCAAGAACATTTAAATTGTTTCCAGTTTTTTTGCTTATAGACAATGCTGTGGTGAATAACCTCCTATTCACCTACATCATTTTGCCTGTGTGCAAGGACATTTCTAAGAAGCAATCCTAGAAGCAGAATGACCAGGTCCAAAGGAGTCTTGGGAGATATTGCTAAGTTGTGCTTTGCATTGGTCTAGCACAACTTAGCAATATCTTACAAATTAATCAATACAAAGGAACAACTGCATCTGAGCTGGTCACTCATCTGACCTGGATCCCTCTGAAATTTTCTCCCCAGGATGCTGGTGTTGCTTAAGTGGAATAGTGAATTCTTCTGTCCAATAAGGTAAGTCCTAGAAAGGTGGAACCAGATTACAGACATGGAAAATGAGAGACATTTCCTGAACACAGAACAGATACCATCTTCCTCCCATCCCCACAGCTGCCCAAGAGCTCTAATTCACAAATCTGAATGGATCCTGCCTGCTCAAAGCTCTTTATTGGCTCCTTTACATTCATGACATAAAATCCAAAATCTCTGCATAACACAATCAGGCCCATCTCTCTCTCTCTCTTCCTCCTCTATAACCCTCCAATCCTACCTTATGCTTCAGCCATGCTGAACAGATTTCAGGTCCCCACCAAGTCCTGCCCTCCTGCCTCTGTGAGGAACTCCTGACCTTCTATCTGCAGAGCACATTTCTGGCTCTCCTCCGAGCCTCAGTGAAACGTCCCCCTGCTCTTCCAGCCCTGAGGCTCTAAGGGCCTTTCTGTTTCCTTAACCTATAATACATCACAGAGGCCTAGCAAAAGGCTTATCTTCTGGAAGGTAATGTTTCAAATGTTTGTTGAAGTACTGAATGATCACCACTTTCATTTTATTTCTGGCAATGTCCGAACCGAAGAAAATCACATTTGTCTTCTCAGAAGAGGGAAGATATTCAAATACTAAGAACTGTAGTTCCTGGTTAAGACCTTTTAGAAAATGACGTCAGGACAGTAGCAACTAGAAACTCAGCAGAATGCTTAAGTACTAAGACCAGAGTGAAATAGGCCAAGATTTGAACAGTCATGGTTTAGGTAGACTGGAGCACAGGGGATGGGGACAGGGACAGGATGGGGGGCTGCTGGGAGAGTTTCAAGTTTGTCTAAGGTTTAAGAATCACAAGTTCTTGGCTTTTTAACCATAAAAGCAATCTTGCTGAATACATTCACATGGGTACCTGGGGAAAGCTAGACCTGTACACCTATTAATTAAAAGACCCTTTAAAAAAAAATCACAAGTTCTTTTTTAAGAATCACATATATTTACATTGTGGATCTGGGATACATTTTTTACAGGAGTTAATCTGTTTACAGCTGGAGTGTCTTTGGAAAGTCCACTCTAAAATGAAGTCACCTATTGTGGTCACTGTCCCCCTCCCCAACCTCTGTTCTGAAACCAAGCACCTTCCCGTACACCCAAAGGAGGCTGCTCTCTTTAGTTTTCCATGTGACTCGCCAGCTGGTCCAAGCTGTGGGGATCACTCTTCAGCTCAGGGGTAGACAGATGCTCCAGCTCATAGTGCCCACTGTTAAAGGCCTTCTGTGTGGGTTTCTCTTTCATGCCCTCCTTCTGGCTCCTCTTATGCTCAATAATCTGCTGGAGCTGGTGCCCGGCATACTCTGGCTTGGTGGTCAGTGGGCACCCAGCTGGCACAGCCACACCAAGAATATCTGATACCATGTATGGGCGTAGCCAGCCCACTAGAGGAGTGCTTCCCGGGCTATAGTGGGTCTGCTTGTGGTAGAAGAGAAGTCCATCCACCTATAAGAAAAGAGACCAGGGATCAAAATGACTTCTGAGGCCACATGTTTTGAGGAGAGCCTATACTCATGGGGCAGCTCTACTGGTTCAAATCCTTTTTCTGAGTCACTGCCAGAGGAAAAAGTTCTTGTTTCTCACACATGCAATTTCTCTAAATGAAGAAACAGCCTAGAAAATGAAATTTTAGAAAATAAAAAAATATATGCCCTGACTGGTTTGGCTCAGTGGATAGATCGTTGGCCTGTGGACTCAAGGGTTCCAGGTTCAATTCCGGTCAAGGGCATGTACCTTGGTTGCCAGTACTTCCCCAGAAGGGAGTGTGCAGGAGGCAGCTGATTAATGTTTTTATCCCTCTCCCTTCCTCTCTGTAAAAATCAATAAAAATGTTATTTTGAAAAAAGAAAAGCCTTTCATCTACCATGAGGGTATTTTTGAGGTGGGGTGGCTCAAAGTTCTGGGGGCTTCTGTAATAACACAGTTTGTATGAAGTAGAAATTCAACTTAAACCCAAGTCCTCTTCCCAAATCCCATGCATTTCTACCACTCAGAGATCTCATAGTGGGTTATGTGTTCTGTACACAGAACAAAGCAGGGGAACTGGATAGGCCCATATGAGATGCTGGACTGCTGAGCACAGAGGAAACCTGTGTGGTCAGTGGTTGAGCATTTACTTATAAACCAGGAAGTCATGGTTCAATTCTTAGAGTACATGCCTTGAAGTACTGATCCCCAGTTGGGAATGTGCAGGAGGCAGCCAATCAATGATTCTCTCTCACCATTGATATTTCTATCTCAGCCTTTCTCCTTCTTCTGAAATCAATAAAAATAGATTAAAAACAAAAAGAAGCCATACTCCCCAAGCCATTGTTGGCTGCCTAACTCTTCCCCCTAAATTATTGCAAGCTATGTTCTAGGAAACTCAGTTTTTCTTAAATGAAAGAATTCCTACAGCCCTAGCCGGTTTGGCTCAGTAGATAGAACGTCAGCCTGTGGACTGAAGGGTTCCAGGTTCGATTCAGGTCAAGGGCATGTACCTTGGTTGCGGGAGTGTGCAGGAGGCAGCTGATCGATGTTTCTCATCAATGTTTCTAATTCTCTCTCTCCCCCTTCCTCTCTGTAAAAATCAATAATATATATATAAAAAGATTTCCTACAGTCCCAAATTTTATTTTCTGGGAATCAGCAACTCATCTCTAAAAAGCATTTACTGGATAAACCAAAGGACTTGTATGCATGCATATAAGCCTAACCAATGAACACAGACACCAGGATGGTGAGAGCAGGAGTGGGGGCTGGGGGATTGGGGGTGCAATGAGGAGAATAAGGAGACATATGTAATACCTTAATCAATAAAGAAAAAAAAAAGCATTTACTGTAACTTTATTATAGAATAAGGGCTATAAGTAAAAATAAAGATGGCAGTCACCCTGGTTAGTGTGACACAGTAGTTGGAGCATCAGTCTGAACACTGAAGGGTCTCAGGTTTGATTGACATACCTGGGTTGTAAAGTTCACTCCTCAGGGCGAGTGTGGTAGGCAACCAGTCCATGTGTTTGTGTCACATCAATGTTTCTCTCTCTCTCTCTCTCTCTCTCTCTCTCTCTCTCTCTCTTTTAAATATATTTTATTGATTTTTTACAGAGAGGAAGGGAGAGAGATAGAGAGCTAGAAACATCGATGAGAGAGAAACATCAACCAGCTGCCTCTTGCACACCCCCTACCGGGGATGTGCCCGCAACAAGAATCAAACTCGGGACCTTTCAGACCGATGCTCTACCACTGAGCCAAACCGGTTTCGGCCCATTCTCTTTCTCTTAAAAGTAATGAAAAAAAAAAATATCCTCATGTGAGGATTAACAAAAATAGATAAATAAAAATAAAGATGGTGTTCTTACCATCTTCTTAATTGACTCCCAGAAATGAAGGCAACCGCCTGAAGCTGTGATCCTTTCTGCAAAATATATCCAGTTCAAGTAAAGACTTATAGGTGACTGGGGAGAATTTTAAAGGGTTTGTTGGGCAAAAGAAAGTTTGCTTATTGAGACTGGAGAGGATAACTTCAGGTACTAAGGATGACAGAAGACTGCTCCAAGAATGAAGAGCTGCTGCTGACAATGAGAAACTTTCAACAATAAGACTGGGAAAGTCCAGGACACAAACTGGGATGAGTTGATCACCTGCCCCATGTCACTGCTGAGCAAGCACTGACATACCCAGGATCATTTGCTCTTCCTAGGAAGGAAGATTTAGAAGTTTACATCCCTGTGGTCCATCAGTCAAAGAAGCCCCTTGACTTTACAACCAGCCATGGCAGTTACACAAAGGACCTGGTTCTCAAGCTTACAACAGGAAGGGGCAAACAAGGAATGATCTAGGAATGAAAGCCTCACCATGATCTGGGTCTCAGTTATCTGTAAAATGAGAGCGTTAGATGAGGTGTCCTTTAAGGGCCCTTTTAGCTCTGGCATTCTGATTTATGTAGAAGGGTAGAGCTGAGGCTCTGAAGGGCAGTGAGTATGTCCCTTTCTAGAAATCAGCTTTCAGCCCTTTTCTCTTTCTTACAAATGATTGTAGAGAGAAAGGGAGAAGGGGATAGAGAGAAAGAGAGAATCATCGAAAGGTTGTCTCCAGCATGCACCCTGACAAGGAATCGAATCTACAATTTTTTGGTGCCCAGTATGACATTCTGACCAATCTTCTGAGCCATACCAGCCAGGGCTCAGCCCTTTTCTGATACTTTAACATAGCAAAATCAAAATATATGTGTAATGAAGTTTTCTTGTGTCCTGAAATCACATTAGAACAATAAAGACTATGACTTTTTTACCTCAAAAGGGAAATCCATAGACAGCACCTTACACAGGCTCTCAGGGGTACAAGGAAAATTCTTTAGCCCCACAAATTTAAACTAAAATATAAATTGAAACAAAGAATTAGTACATATTACAAATAATACTATTCCAGCAACTGGAAAGCTATATCAAAGAAGCTTTTGGTCTCTTCCTTCCCAGCTATCTCCCCTCCAAATAGATGCTGAATTAATAGGTCAATGGTTCTCAACCTTGCTTTATAAGGAGAATCATTTGGGGAACTCTTAAAGAAGCCCAACCACTATTTATTGAGAGCCTACCATAAGTACTATGCTAGGAGGACATACATATTTTTCTAACTTAGTTCTTAGAACCACCCTGTAAAATAGACATTATTCACCTTATTATACAGATGAAGAAACTAAGGCCAACTGATGTTTTTAGCTTAGCCTAATAATTATTAAAGCCAAAACTGGAATTCAGATCTGGATGACTGTTAAGCCTATAATCTTCCTGTGATGCTGTTCTTTCTCAATATTAAAGAATTTCATTCATAATGGTTATATGTAAATAACAGATCATTCCAAACCAATCCATAGAAAGAGCTCTACAACCCAAATCCCAGGCCTCACAGGATTGAGCTTGGTGTTCTCTCCCAGTCCTTCTTCTTCTGGTAACTTTGAATGCATCCAGTAGAATCGGAAATCAGTCTGCCACAAAGAAAAGACAAAGATAAAATACAGCTCATTTCAAACTCTAATAGAAGCAAAAAGCCATATTCTAAATAGCCACCTGATTTATGAAGACCAAAGTCTTTCTATCATTACCCTCATTTCCTTAAAACACTGCCATCAGATTAGGAAGGTATTTTAAAATCTTTGAAGATTTTTTTTCCCATTTTTTTTTCTTTAGATTTGCCAACGTGTCAAAAATAACCTTTATTACTTTTATAACAGCCTCTTATGTTCTCACACTTTCTTGCTAGAAGCCTTTGTAGCAGGTGCTTTCAGGGCTGGGGCTTTCAGACCCTTGTGCTTTTCAAGGTGCTGCTTTCTGGCCTATAGTTTTCTAGGCAGACACCCTCTGGACTGGAGCCATCTTACCTGCAGCGGTCACCTTTTTTTTTTAAAGAATAGTTTATTGATTTTGAGAGAGAAAAAAAGATATATATATATATATGGAGAGAGAGAGAGAGAGAGAGAGAGAGAGAGAAAGGGTAAGAAACATTGATGTGAGAGCACATCAACTGCTTGCTTCCTGCATTCCGCCTTCTCCCCCCACAAGGGAGGAGTCCAAAACCTGGGTTATGTGCCCTGACTGGGAATAGAACTGGCGACCTTTCTGGGCATGTCATGACATTCAACCACCTGAGCCACACTGGCCAGGGCCAGTGGCCACCATTTTTTTTTTTTTTTAAATCAATCTTTATTGTTCATATTATTACAAAGGTTCCTCATTTCTTCCTCCCTCCACCAGGTTCCCACCCCACCCTCTGCACCCTCCCCATCCCCCATTGTCCTCATCCATAGGTGCAGTTTATGTTCAGTCTCTTCTTCCCTCAATTTCCCCAATAGTAAATCCCTTTTCAGATAGTAAATCAGTTACTTAGCATTTTCTCATATCAATAATACCTCCACATGCCCAATGATACACTTCACACAAGACATTTCCCAATAGGTCCACCAGCCTCATCCAGGCCCCACCCAAGGCACTCACAGATCAACACCCCAGGCCTAAACTAACTCAACACACCCAGATCTAAGCCTTCATCACTTGATTCAGCAGACCCTCAAGTTCCCACGAAAGTTTCCAGCCATGTCCGAGAAGCAGCCGTGGAGCAGGGGCAGGCAAGGAGGGAGCTGTTCTGGGCCTGGCTGCTCAGGGCCTGGCCTCTGTTGCTCTGGTTCATTCCACAACCAGCTGCTCCGGGTCTGGTCACTGCCGCTCCCGACCTAGTTGCTCTGGACTTGGCTGCTGCTGCTCTGGGCCTGGCCGCTCCCACCTGGTAGCCGCTGCTCCGGGCCTGGCCGCACCCGACCCGCCTGCTCCCCCGGGCCTGGCCGCTCCCAGCCTGGCAGCCGCTGCTCCGGGCCTGGCCGCACCCGACCCGCCTGCCCCCCCGGGCCTGGCCGCTCCCAGCCTAGCAGCCGCTGCTCCGGGCCTGGCCGCACCTGACCCGGCTGCTCCCCCGGGCCTGGCTGCTCCCAGCCTGGCAGCAGCTGCTCCGGGCCTGGTCGCACCTGACCTGGCTGCTCTGGGCCCGGCTGCCCCGGGCTCGGCCGCTCCGAGCCAGGCAGTGGCCACCATTTTTGCTGGAACCTTTGCAGAAGCAGTTGTAGCTCCACCTTTAACTGCAGGGAGCTTTCAGGAGACCTCTCCCCAACCCCCCAAATTCTCTCTAGAGGATAGTTTCTCCATTGATTTCTAGAGGGTAAGGAAGATCGGGGAGGGAGAAGAAGAGAAGCATACATGTGAAAAAGACACATCCATTGATTGCCTCCCACATGTGTTCAATTAGAGCTAGGGATCGAACCTACAACTCAGGTACATGCCTTTGACCAGGAAACAACCTGTGACCCTTCAATGCATGATCCACACTAGCCAGAGCAGAACTGCCTTTTAAAGGTTGAACCCTGACTTCAACCTTGATTATTCAGTTCCTCATTTTCTTTACTGTCATGACCATGTAATGATCAAAACTGTCATCTTGGCTTGCTTTTCTCTGGCTTCAATCTTATTGACCCATCTTGTGGCTGCCAGGCTTGTTAAGCAAACTTCTGGCGGGCACAATATGAGAACTTGGGATGAAGACAGTAAGCCATATGCATTTGAAAGTCTCCTTACTTGAGTGAAAGTTCCATTAACCAAAGCCCTGTTCTGATGGATATCTATAATCTCGAGCAGCTTCGTGTCAAGAGGCCCAAAGGAAAGGTAGGCCACTCAGACAACCTCCATGAAGCAGCTGAACACCATGTTGACTGGGTTGTGTGAAAAGGAAAAAAGCATGAAGATTTAAAAAAAAAAAAAATCCAGTAATATTAATGGCAATAGGCCAAATATTATGAAAGACCTACTATGTGTCCAGCTCTAAGAGAGAGAGAGAGAGAGAGAGAGAGAGAGAGAGAGAGAGAGAGAGAGACATAGTAGGTCTTTCATAATATTTGAATATTCTGTCACTTATTAATCCAAAACCACTCTGTGAGAATTGTATTATCATTCTATTCTTTTTTTTTCTTAAATTTTTATTGTTCATATTATTACAAATGTTCCTCCCCCCCTTCCCACCCCACTCCCCATTGTCCTCATCCATAGGTGCACAGTTTATGTTCAGTCTCTTCCCATATCCCCCTCCCCCCTTTTCCCCAAGAATCATCAGTTCACTTCCCTTCCATACCTCTGATTCTATTATATTCAACAGTTAATATTGTTCCTCAGATTTTTTTTTTTAATTTCCTTGGTTTTTAGATTAACTTGTTGATAGTTACGTATTTGTTGTTCATAAGTTTTATCTTTATTTACTTTCTCTTCTGAAAGAACCCCCTTCAGCAATTCATATAATTCTGGTTTGGTGTTGATGAACTCCTTTAGCTTTTTTTTTTTTTTTACTAGTGAAGCTCTTTATCTGATCTTCGAATGTGAGTGATAGCTTTGCTGGATAGATTATCTTTGGCTGTAGGTTCTTACTATTCATCACCTTGAATATTTCTTGCCATTCCCGTCTGGCCTGCATGGTTTCTGTTGAGAAATCAGCTGACAATCATATAGGTGCTCCTTTATAGGTGACTACCTTCTTTGCTCTTGCTGCTTTTAATATTCTCTTTGTCTTTTGCTCTTGGAATCTTAATTATGATGTGTCTTGGTGTGGTCCTCTTTGGATTCCTTTTATTTGGAGTTCTGTGTGCTTCCTGGACTTGTAAGTCCAATTCTTTCCCCAGGTGGGGGAAGTTTTCTGTCACTATTTCTTTCAGTATGTTTTCGATATCTTGCTCTCTCTCATCTTCTGTGACCCACATAATTCTGATGTTGGATCGTTTGAAGTTGTTTTTTTTTTTTTTTTTTTTTTTTTTTTTAAAATATATTTTATTGATTTTGTACAGAGAGGAGGAGAGAGAGATAGAGAGTTAGAAACATCGATGAGAGAGAGTCATCGATCAGCTGCCTCTTGCACACCCCCCACCGGGGATATGCCCGCAACCAAGGTACATGCCCTTGACTGAATCGAACCCGGGACCTTTCAGTCCCCAAGCCGATGCGCTATCCATTGAGCCAAACTGGTCTCGGCTATTTATGTCATTTTCTTTCCTTACATTATTTAGCCTTCAGAAACAAAAAAAACCCACAACAGTCTTTCCTTTATACTATAAAACCATAGGTGATTTTGCCTAGCTTGTGGGGCTCAATGGCTAAGCATTGACCTATGAACCAAGAATACAAGGTTCGATTTCCCATCAAGGCACATGCCAGGGTTGTGGGGTTGGGTCCTCAGTAGGGGGTATGCAGTTGGTAGACGATCAGTGATTCTCTCTCATCATTGATATTTCCTTTTTTTTTTTCCAGGAAAAATTTTTTAAAAATATATTTTTATTGATTTCACAAAGTGAGAGATAGAAACATCAATGATTAGACTCAATGATTGGCTGCCTCCTGCATACCCCTTCTGGGGATCAAGCACACAACCTGGGAATATGTCCTTGATGGAAATCAAATCTAGGACCCTTCAGTCTGCAGGCCAACAATCTATTCACTGAGCAAAACCAGTTAGAGCTCATCATTGATATTTTTATTTCTCTCCCTCTCCTTTCTTCTCTAAAATGAATACAAATATTAGGAGGGTAAAAGATAAGTTTAAAACAAAAAATAGGTGGTTTTAGTTACTGAATTCATATATTGCAAAAGCATGTTAGAAAATATCCTTTAACAGAATTACAGGAAAATGTGTTTGGACTGAATTTTTTTGAAAATATATTTTATTTATTTTTTAAAATATATATATTTTATTGATTTTTTAGAGAGGAAGGGAGAGAGATAGAGAGTTAGAAACATCAATGAGAGAAACAATGATCAGCTGCCTCCGCACACCATCTACTGGGGATGTGCCCACAACCGAAGTAAATACCCTTGACTGGAAATGAACCTGGGACCCTTCAGTCTGCAGACTGATGCTCTATCCAATGAGCCAAACCTGTTAGGGCTGGACTGAATTTAGGACTACTGAGTTTTAGGTTTGGTTCTGCAACTGGGCAAGTTACAGAACATCTGTGGCTCTCAAGTTCCTTATCAAAAGGATTACAAATAGGAGTAGTTACCTTTTATTTTTTAAAAAATATATATTTTATTGATTTTTTACAGAGAGGAAGAGAGAGGAACAGAGAGTTAGAACATCGATGAAAGAGAATCATCGATCATCTGCCTCTTGCACACACCCTACTGGGGATGGGCCTGCAACCAAGGTACATGCCCTTGACTGGAATCGAACCTGGGACCCTTTAGTCAACAGGCTGACGCTCTATCCACTAAGCCAAACTGGTTTCGGCAGGAGTACTTACCTTTTAGAGATGTAAGGAATTTAAGGTTATAATGCTCAAAATTGCTTAATAATGCCTGTCCTGGAGAATATTCTGAGAATGAGGAGCATGTTAGAATTTCAAAGTACTACCACTGAACAGATGAGGAAACCCAGCTTTTAGTAATGACATGAAAGGAAATAGCC